CCCCAAAACCCCAAAACCCCAAAACCCCAAAACCCCTTCGTTATTTTAGCAAGCTGAAATAATAAGAAGAGTATTAAAAACTCAAAGTAGTTTATTTCACAACTTTAGTCGTTTTGGAACGAGGCCTTTTATCAACTGATGTGTCTAGATGAGAGAACTCATCACCTTCATGATCCTCTGCAATCTTTCCTAACCTTTTGAGTACTTCAGCTTTAAACTCCATGTACTCTTCTTTAGCATTTTCATAGTCAAGATCTGAATTCAAAAAGGGGTGTTTTAGCAATTCTGCTGCTGATGGTCTCTCATTATAATCTTTGACCATACAGCATTCAATGAAGGAGTTGAATAAATCACTCCATTTCTCTGGATGCTTTAGAGTTGGAGAAGGCTTTGATAAGATATGATATATTGTCTTTTGCTGCCCATGCTTAGGGAAGGGAGGGAAGCCTTGGGCTAATTCAAATGCGAAAATTCCTAAACTCCATATATCTCATTTCTCATTATACTTATTGTCACTTTTTAACAGTTCAGGTGCCATCCAGTATAGGGTACCTACTCGAGATTCTCTCATTCTATTTTTCTTGGGTTAATTGACAAGAATATCCAAAGTCCGTAAGTTTTATAGCAGCTGTATCTTTTTCAATAAGAATGTTATCGCTCTTAATGTCTCGATGGATAATTCCTCTCTTATGCAAGCTGTAGATACCTTGTAAAACCTCTCTTAGAATATAGGCAATGACGTTTTCCGGGATGTCCAGCTTCATGTCTTCGACTACTGGAGTAAGACATCCTCCATCGAGATAATCCATGACCATGAATATTCTACCCTTATAAAGATAGACGTCATGTAGATTGACAATGTTAGGATGATCAGAGGTTTTCATAATTGTAATTTCATTTCCGATATAGATCTTCTGCTTGTTTGAGGTGATGTCAATGTATTTTAGTGCATAGACTTCTTTATCCTCGATTTTTACACATCTGTAGACTTTTCCAAAACCACCCTCTCCAAGCTCATTCAGAATTATGTAGTCTTGGGAAGGATCTGTTTTGATGAATGAGATACTCTCCTTCTCCCTATTTCCGATATTCAGAGTTAGAAGGCAGAGGATGGATTGATCCAGTCTTTTGTCTCCTCATTAAAGTTAGTGTTTCCAGAACACTAAGAGGATCTTCTGACACATCTTTCTTGGTTAAGCCAGCTTGCTTAAAATCAGATCTTTGCTCGGAAGTGAGTCCAGTCATGCCTTCCTCTGCATTCTCGTCAAGTTCAACTTCTATTTCAGGTATTTTTGCTTCTTCCTTTTCATCTTCTGTCTCGTCAGGAAGAGAAACGATAAACTTTCCTGGCTTAGTCTCTTTAATATATTTCTTAATATTAGTATCGACCAGGGGTACTACATCTTGTGGTAAGGAGCCTGTCTCTATAATAGATTCTTCTGCGAGGAGGTCTTCGCAATCTAATAAATCTACCCATACATCAGGCATGCCTGTTAGCTTTCCTTCAGGGTTAATACTCACTCCGATTTGTTTCTCCACGTACTTGAGCCTTGAAATCTCATGAACAGATTTGCTATTTCTCTTTCTCGTGGCTACTTCCCAGCTCATTTCTTCAGCTTCTGGAGTTTTTCCTCCCATTTTATCCAAAGTTATTAAATTAATATTTATTGGGGTTTTGGGGTTTTGGGGTTTTGGGGTTTTGGGG